CCTGAACTAAGTCCCAGGAAGTTATTTTATGGATATAGATAACTGATACTAAAGTTTACATGAAATAGCAAAAGACTCAAAATAGCCAGTATGATACCGAAAAACAAAGTTGGAGGACTGTCATCACCTGACTTCAAGATTTTGTTTAATCAAGACAGTTCTATACTGGCAAGATAATAGCCAAATAAATCAATGGAACTGGACATAGAACCCCAAAATAGACCCACACAAACATGGTCTGGTGATTTTTTTTTACAAAGAAGCAAAGTCAATTCAATGGATAAAGATAGTATTTTCACTTGTCAAGCTGGAACTACCAGACATCTACATTTTAAAAAATGAATTTGGATGCCAACCTTACCCTGTTTAAAAAAAATAAATTATTCAAATTGGATCATAAGCCTAAATGTAAAATGCAAATCTGTAAACCTTCTGGAATCTAGCATAGGAGAAAATCTAAGGGATTTGGGGTTTGATGATAAGTTTTTAGGTATAACACCAAAAGCACAATCTATGAAAGAAAAAAACATAACAGGACTAATTAAAATTAAACTTGTCTACTCTGCAAAAAGATACTGCTAATGAAATTAAAAGAGAAGTCACATACTGAGAGAAAATATTTGTAAAACGTGTATCTGGTAAAGGATTGGTATCCAAAATATATAAAGAATATTTATAATTCAACAACAAGAAAACAAAAAAAAAAACAACTAAAAATGGACAAATGTTATAAATAGATATTGCACCAAAAAAGATATACAGATGATAAAAATAAACAATCAAAAATAGAATCAACATTCTATGTCATTAAGGAATTACAAATTGAAACAACAATGAGCTACCACTGTGCATGAAACAGAATGACTAAAATATATAAAACTAATAATATCAAATGCTGGTGAAGCTGTGGGACATCTACTGGAAGCAGTCAAGCTGTCTTTTAATAAGTCAATGGTTAACCTGTGGCACATTCGGATAATGAAATATTATTCAGTGATAAAATTAAATGAGCTATCAAGCCACAAACAGATGTGAGCGGATATTGAAGACATAGTGCAAAGAAACTAGTCTAAATGTTATATACAGTATGATTCCAACCTTATCATGTTCTTGAAAAGGCAAAAGTATAGAGACAAAAAGAACATTGGTAGCTAAGTATTTGGAAGAGAGGTAGAGAAGGATGAATATGCGAAGCTCAGAGGATCTTTAATGCTGTGAAACTACTCTGCACAGTTCCTGCATGTGGATACATGGTACGCATTTGTGAAAACCCATAGAGCTATACAACAAAAAGAGTAAGCCCTAATGTAAACTATGGGTTTCAGGTAATTATAATGCATCAGTATTGGTTTATCAGTTATAACAAATACCACACTAATGCAAAACATTAAAAATAGGTTAACTGTATTTAGGTGGAAGTTGCAGATGGCGTATATGGGACCTCTCTGTACTATCTGTTGAAGTTTTCTGTAAACCTGCTCTAAAAAATAGTGTGTTCATTTTTTTTTTAATTAGAATCAACTGTCCATGTGAACACATTCCTAGGGCCTCTCCCAAGACTTTGAAAGAAGCAGTTCTGTGAAGTCCAATACATGTAGAAAATCTCCCTCTGACTCTGCCTCCTAAGTCCTCGTAGCATTCATGACACTTCCAAGAGAGTAGTGGCAAAGACATTACGGTTCCATTTTGTCCCTCGTAGCTGGCAAGAACTCCAGACATATAAGCCAAAGAGATGATTGAAAGAATAGATGACCAGTTAAATGAATGAAAAAAATCAAATATTGGGGGAATTTACTTTTTCTTTCCTTTGTGGCCACCATAATCTTGTTTCAATGCCACAGTCATACCAAATTACTTACCATTTCCTATTCTCATCCTTATTACTTTTCTGACGTTCCCACCTCAGTCCTGTTGTCTAGGCTGTATACGTTCTCAGCTCACCTCAAATAGCCACATTGCCACTTGTTCCCTGTTCCAGTGCTCCCATAGTCATAATTGTTCCGAGTTCTATTATATCCTTTCAGCAGGGTAATGTAATTATGTTATTGTCTCTGTCTCCTATGGAATTGTGAGCTGATCAGGATGTATACAAAATCTTATTTATGATGGTTTACATGTTTTCATAGTGTATGATTGAGTTTTAAATTAATTCTTGGTACTGTGAATAAACTGGTGAATGTTGCTGCTTTTGCATGAATCATATCGTAGAAAATCTCTGCCTACCCACTTTAATACAAGTACTCAATTGCGAAAAAGCTTAAGGCAATAGGCAGACTTTGCAGTGAAGTAAACAAGATATAATTGTCAAAAGGCAAAATCATGTAATTGTGCACAGGTTTTATATATTTTTTAAAAATATCACTTTGGTTGCATGCTTATTTACTTTATGACCTTGGAAAGTGAATATAATCACTCTCTGTTTTCCCTGTAAAGGAGAATAATATATTTTCCACTTAGTTGTTGGGAGAGTAAGTGAGGTAACCAAATGTAAAAGACTGAACAATGCCTGGTTCACAGGAAGTATTCAAAAGATGTCAGATCTCTTCAACTTTTTTTTCTAAGGCTTAGAAACAAAGGGCCTAATCTTGGCTCCGCCATTTGCAAATGGTTGATCTTGAATGATTTATAATATTTCTGATCCTTAGTTTTTGTCATCTACAAAAGAATCATAATGTCAGCATATGGATGCTATGAGTATTAAATTAAATAGCATATGTAAAGTGCTTACCAGAATTCCTATAATTTATAATGGTCAACAAACTTTAACCAGTTTAATATAAAAAGATGTTAACAAAATGTAGTTGGGGTGTGGTCCTAAAGAGAGCAATTAAGTAGAAACTGTAGTGCTGAACCAGTGATCAGTGGGCTTTGTAAAGTTGCCATGGCTAACATTCATCCATCTTTCAAAACTCTATACAAGAGTTCTGGTTGAAGATAATGAGGAGCAGAGGAATTTATTGCAGAGATTTTCAGTGTATTTGCAATTCTCTCCAGGTTTTGGAGGCAAGAAAGACAAGAACGGATCCCAAGATTGCACTTTAACTCAGTGGAGAGGCACTCAAAGAAAGTATTTGGAGAAGCCGACATGGGTGTCCTAGAGATTGATGGATGTGGGAAAGCCATACCTGACTTCTCATCCAGTAAATCTAAGGATAGAATTCCTTCTTCCCTGGGGCAAGTAAAGCGTAGGTTTCCCTAGGAGTCGGCTGTGCTGCCACTGATGGAGAAACAAATGTCTGTTCCTTTGGCAACCAGTATATATGGAGAGAAAGGTTAATAAAGAGGGAGAGAAAGGACTGTGTCCCAGAAGACAGCCTGAAGACAGGATGAGACCCCAACTGTCAGAGGGGACTACAAGAACCATGACAAGGCACTAGCCTGAAGCAATGCTAGAACCAAAATAACTGCGACAAATGATGTCCTTGCATGTATTGTCCAAGGAGTTTGTTTAAGTGCCAACACTGGCAGCTCGGATGATAAGAAAACCAGTCACATTAAATTGTAGTTTTTTTTTTTGTTTCTGCTCTTCCCCCAAGCTTAAAAAATTGAGTCAGGGCTAAATTGGATGAGAGTTTAAAATATTCAGTATTTACCCTGGACTAAACTGGACTTATTTCAGACTAGTATTGACTTATTTACAACCCAAACAAATAGAACATTTATGTAATCATTGTAAATAACTGACAAAGCTCAGGAGCCCATTTTTTTATGTCATGCAGAAGTGTAAAAAGAACAAATTGTCAAAGCAGAAATAATAAAATTGGTTATTAAATTCACACACTATAGCATCCATGTCATTCAATGAACCCATTATTTGTGTCAGTGATACATCATGGGTATTATAAGAGATGTACAAAACAATAGATGCTTCTTTTGAGTTCTACTCCTATAGAGAGAATATTTAAATCAATAAATATGCTTAATTCTAAATGTCTCACTAGGTTTCCATATTACTTTTCTTGTAGAAATCTTACTAAGGTTGGATGAGTTATGCAACGATTGGAATCATAAATCGTACGGCAACGAAGATAGAGTCCATCAATCCTGAAATGGCTAGATCTACAACAAGAAGGTGGTCATTACACTGAAATGTTTATTTGAGAATCCTATTTTGGTTTAATTAAAAAGAAAAGGAGACAGAGATATAAAGATGGGGAGAGGAGGAAGTTAATATAAACATGGGTGGTTTGACCAAAATTCAGATCCTAGATAACATAAACTACAAATGGCTTTACTGTTCTTAGAGCCTCAATGCCCTTTCAATCTTGTTTTCTGGTCGCCAGCTTTCTCAAAGAATTGTGTGTTCATTAACGGTGTGTGTGTGTGTGTGTGTGTGTGTGTGTGTGTGTGTTAGAGAGAGAGAGACAATAAATACACATATGTGTATGTATGTGTGATTATATGTGTTCTTGGTGGAAGTCGGGGTGTTGGGGGTAGTGGTATTGTGTGTGTATTTGTGTTTGAGCTGAGTTTGGACTTTTTTTGGGGGGGGTTATTATGAAAGGAAGTATCCATCCCCTTGAGAGTTACTGACATACAAATTATGTGGGGTCTTCTCATAGCGTAAGTTTAACCGAACAGCATCTGGTCCTAGTGGCTATTTGGGAAAGTTCATCTGCTGCATAGGAAAAGAGACATTCATTTGAAAACATGAGTCATATAGCTATTCCTAGTCCTTTTATGTGCTTCTGCCAGCCAAACCACTGCCGGACACGTCTCAGAAAAAGAATCATCGCTGCCTATAATTACACATTTAATATACTGACTCATGAGAAGTTTTTGGACATTCAAGGCATCAGTGAGTCAATTATATTTCTAATCTTTATAACTCTACTAAAGCAGTGCTGCTGAGCATCATTACTTTTGATTAATAGCAAAGCATAATTATTAGAAGAAAACGCCTATATTTCTCTTTGATTTTTAACTGCATGCACATATGCCAATTGCTGGAGAGAGTTTATTCAGCTGGACATTTGGGACATGTGAGCTGCATTTTTACAGCTCTTCCAGACTGAAAAATCTCAATGTCTGTATTTTCAACATACGTAGCCAGGCAACAAAGATGACGATTTACCGCTGGCAGCCCTCCTGAACTTTCCTTCTTTCCTTGTGCCTTAATGAAATGATAGATCTTAGTATACTCTATAAGTACCAGGAGTTGCAGTTCCCATAACTAAGCCTTTTGGGAGGAAATTGTTTTTATTTTAATTTCAAGTTCCACATTTTCTGTACCCAGAAATTTGCCAAAATAAACTTGGGGGGAAATTGTGACTCTCTACCATATTGTCTCCATCCCCCAAACCGATGACATTTAGTTTCTATGGCATCATCCAATTCTCATTTGTATTGAAATGATCTACTACTGACTTTGTAATAGCAAATGAGGCTTGCAGAAAACTCCAACCAGAGAGTCATGTTCTTCTGTAAATGCGATAATTGCCCCCATTTGACTACTGATTCATTTGGCCTTCATATGGGTAATTAAGAATCACAGAACTGTGGTAATCACCTAACCGCATGGTATGCTGAACATTTGCAACATCCTGTTTAAAGCACACCAATTAAATACGTTCTGCAAAGGCTTTTTCTTTTTTTTTTTTAATCAAAAGGTAATTTCTTTTTTTTTATATTTACACTTGAAGGATGAAGGCAGCTACTATATTGTTCCTTGATCAAATATTTTAATCAGTCATAATGTGGTGCCATGTTAATTAATATTGAGTTGTGCCACATTTTACTATAATGTATGTGGAAACTTCCTCTAGTTGCTTATGTAGAAAATACAGAATTCCAGATATCGATCTTCATTTTGATACAGTACAAAGAAGATTTTACTTTATATTAGATGATTGTTTTACAAGACTGCCTGAAGAAAAAGAAAAGGATAAAGGATGTTCATAAAGGATAAAATGATTAAAGAATTCAATTGTGTAGGCAACACTACTTTTCTAAGAGATTCTATTTGATTAGTTGGTTAAATTGATTTTGATACTGTTTCAGTTTTCATTTATGTTAGAATAATGTAACATAACCTAAAGTTGAATTATATGAATGCTTTGCATTTGCATGAAACGATATTTGCAGACTTCAGCATTTCGCTCTATTCATACATTAATAATATTGCATTTATTCCAAAAACCTAAATCTGCATTTTAAGAAGGCAAATAAATGGGGAGGGGGAGAAGCAAAGGGTGATTTGATAAACACTATTCAATTCTTAACTTCCTGCCAAGGTATCTGTGATTTTCTTTCCTCTTTTCACATATGCAGAGAGCAACAATGAGTTCAGGAATGATGGTTTTCTCCAACAGCTCCAGGGAATAAATTCTGATGGCTTTCAGAGTTTAATTCCACTCGCCTTTATCTGTTATTAGTTTAGGGTTGATAAAATGGCCAAATTCTAGTCATGGAGACATCGAAAGATACCTTATATGGGGCTTCTGGGAAAGATTATAACTTAATTAAATTTTTTTTTCAACGTTTATTTATTTTTGGGACAGAGAGAGACAGAGCATGAATGGGGGAGGGGCAGAGAGAGAGGGAGACACAGAATCAGAAACAGGCTCCAGGCTCTGAGCCATCAGCCCAGAGCCTGACGCGGGGCTCGAACTCACAGACCGCGAGATCGTGACCTGGCTGAAGTCGGACGCTTAACCGACTGCGCCACCCAGGCGCCCCTTTTATAACTTAATTAAAACAAACATAGATAAACATAAATACAAGACCGCTTTGGGACAGGGGATGCTGTCTTATGAAGACAGGAGCAGAAGCAGCTTTATTGGAACAATGTTAACTCTGGAGCGTTAACCCAAGAAAACTGCAAGAATTTAAACTCCTTCATTATTGAGCAATTGAAGGGAATACACTGAAACTACCTTCAACCAGAACTTGTATGCAATGGGAAAATCAACATCTTTAATGATGATCATATTTTAGGTGAGAGTGTTATTCTTTGTAGACAAAAGTAATAAGCAAAAAGTCAGAGATATCATGGAAATGTAGGACATAGTCTCTGGATTAGAGAGAATTTTCACTGATTCTGCCCCTAGCCTCTCTCTGCATCTCAGAGCGGGTAGTGATTTATCTAATTCATATACTCGGGGTGGGGGGGCTATAAATGACCAATTCATTTCCACATTTTTCCTATTGGGAAGAAGGTACCACATAAGGGGAATTTTCCTGTTCATCCTGCCATTGGGTGGGTGAAGCTGTCTTGTCCTGAGATCCAGATTCCGGAAGTGCTTTTAGGCTCTCATACTCCAATGACATACTGCTCTATTTATTGTTGGATACTGTGACCTCATCTACCCTTCCTTTTTTTATCTATCAATTAGTTTAGAACCTGGGTAGGGAACCAGGGTGTTTTTATTGGTGCTTTGTCAGTAGCAACAATAGGTGAGGTCAGCGATTAAAAATAAAATAACACGGCTTCGGTGTAATTTTTGTAATCTACTTGGATCATACATATGGATTTCTTAAGTGATGACATTGAAGAAACAGTTTCTCCCCAATATCCAATACTCCACCCAAGTTCTATGAGAACAGAGATTTTTCTCACTTATCTGGCTTGGTTTTTCAGATTCATTTTTTTCTTTTCCCTCATTGTCATCCTCTTATATATCACAAAACCTGTCTCTTTTATCTTAAAATGTTCTTTGAGGATTTCCTTCTCCTCTTTCACCTCAAGTGCTGTTTTCTAGTTTTATCATGTAAGCTACCGCAGCCCACTCCTGTATCCATTCAAATAAATAAGAAATCTTGGAAGTAAATTCCTAAGGAGTGACTACTAATCTTTATTTACCAATAGCTAGTTGTATGACTTTCATGTTTAAGCCCATGATTTCTTCTGACTCAGATAGCAGCCTCCTTTCCTAACCCTAGCTTATATTTTGCTCCAAGAGTACCCTGTGTAGACTTCTTTAATATTACCCTCTACAATTAAATGGAATTTTGTTCTCATTATATTTAAGACTCTTAAGGATGTGGATCACATATTATTTGACTTTGTATTTCTAGCATCTGTTGCAGTGTTTAACCTGTAATGTGTTCAACAATTAGTTCCTACACTGGTACATACAATTTGAATCTTTATGAATCTCCTATATCTTTAATTAAAAGGAATATAAATATCTATTCTATATCCTGTTATCACTACATTTCCAATGATATAACTCAATGGTAAAATAGACAATAAAGACAAAATTTGGCCTCAGCATAAGGGGAATCATATCCAATATGAGAAAGAAAGAGATTATATATATATATATATATATATATATATATATATATATAAACATACACAGAAATAAGTTCTTTATTGGTCATTGTTCTTAAGTAGATTGCCAAATGGCAAGTATTTGACAGAGTACTTCAAATTAGTTTTTCACAAATTTGTCATTAGTTCTTAAAGACTGGGTGAAACTGAAAGTTTGCATTTATTTTTGTATTCTGATTTGTGCCATATTTCAAAATTTCTTATAGAATTGCTTAAGGTAGGGATCATGGATATCAATATATTTTATGTTCCCATGGTGATTCTGATGTGCAGGAATGTTCTGGCACCACTCTTCCCATCAAATGAATACTCATATTTTTATATTGGTACAGTTCAGGTAAATAGGAAATGACAGTGCTCCAAATCCAATTTCATTAAAAATATATCATCTTTTAGAACTGTCAGTGGTGGTAGGCGGGAGAATTGGAATCAAAAAGTCAGAATCCCAATTAAGGCTTTTTCATTGTCACGATTCCCATATATCCAACAGAATTGCTATGAGGATCACCTAAGATAACTTGACAGTACTTTTAAAATTCTGAACTTTTATTGCTAGTTTTTTTTTTTGTTTTTTGTTTTTGTTTTTTTTTTAATATTTCAAAGTAATGCTTCCAGCGTTAGGGTATTTTGTTATTTAATCCCTTACCCCCAGCAATGATAGCATAGAGCTAAATGCTAAAACAGTTGTTGTCAGAAGGACCCAACTCTCAGGAACCTTTACTGTTTCCAGATCTAGGACCTAAGAAAGAAATTTTATCTCAGTGACTTTCAACTGTCTTATCCACAGAAGAACTATGAAACCAATCACAAGGCTATCATTATGAGATGGCATCATATGTTTAAACTATTTGACTATTTGCCTGATAGGCAATGAATGCTTGTAATTAGTAGATAATATTCTTTAAAGCTGATATTGTTGATAAATCATGTTTGAAAATCCTCAAATCCACTTTATCTTCCTCTTTTGTGGTGTTCTCAATTTTTTTTGAGAGAGAGAGCTCGCAAGCAGAGAAGAGGGGCAAAGGGAGAGGGAGAGAGAAAGAGAAAGACAGAGAGAGGGAGAAAATCTTCATCAGCCTCCACTCTCAGCACAGAGCCCCACACGGGGCTCAGTTCCACAACCAGAGGATGACCTGAGCCAAAATCAAAAGTCGCTTGTTCAACCCACTGAACCACCCAGGCACCCCATTCTCAGCCTATTGATAATCATTTTTATAGCGAGAACTGTCCTTGTGGCTTTGTCTTTAAAACATAACTGTAAGGTTTTGAGAATTAGCTGTTCTTTTATTATTCATTTATTTTTAAGTAATCTCAACACCCAACATAGAGCTTAACTCACTATCCCAGATCAAGAGTCACATGCTCTGCCAACTCAGTCAGCCAGGCACCTGCCCTCCTTGTGGTTCTTATTATGATTGCAAGATACCCTCAGCAATAACCATCAGGAAACTGAAAGAAAAAAAAAAAAGGTTTATTACTTACAAATCCTGGAATTTATACCTGGGGTCATACAGGATGTCACAGGTAAACAGAAAGAGAAAAAGGAGTAAGGACTTGGAATTCTGACTTTATGGGGTTTGAGGATTTTATTGCCAGGTTTCTTGGCAGGGATTTAAAGCATGGGAGGTAAAACAACAACAACAACAACAACAACAACAAGAACAGCAACAACAACAAAAACACAAATGGCCCAAAGGGTCAGTTATCAAAATTAACCAGGATCTCTAAAACAAAGG